TATTTTCATCAGTTACAGAACGTATCCGCGGTAGTTGACATTTAGCTAGTTTTCATTTGAATGTACCTATGAGTTTTCCACAGGTGGACCGACGACCTCACTAAGGTTTCAGGAAGACGCTGGATTCAGGCCGCTACCAACCGGCCATTATCTATGGATATTATATCATTGGGGCAGGCTGAGGCTTGTCCATTTCCTATCACCAATGGATAAGGAGACATTGCTCTAAAGGCACACTTATCAATCCGGAAAGGGATCAATACGGTTACGATCCGTGTCCGGGTCGATAACAGTGCTTCGTTCTTTATGGTTGGATTGGTTGGTTTCAACTGATCGGAGGGCTTAAGAAATAAAACGCACCATTTTGGCTGTTGCTTTTATAATAAATACATAGTTAAATAAAAACAATATTTCTCATCTTCTAAGTAAATCATATCGATACAATTGGGTATTTGACACTAATTACCGATAATAACACGACACCACTTAGCTTTAGTTATCATTGCTAACTCAAGGACGTAGCACACTTATCAACACGGAAAGGGATTGTAACCGTATCAACTCGATGCGATCAGTACCTCTAGTACGAAAAACTTTCGAGTTCGTTTCGTTTGCGTATTCAGTGTCATCGAAAAATTTTGTATGAAAAATTAAACAGCGCCCCCTATATTATAGCCGCCCTAGGGGGCGCTGTTTAATTTTTCATACAAAATTTTTCGATGACACTTTGAATACGCAACGAAACGAACTCGAAAGTTTTTCGTACTAGAGGTACAGTGTGCCTACCATGAGTTTACGTTAGGTGAGCTCGCTAGCGAATACGTCAAACAATTCTATGAAGATTTTATTTCTTGAAAGTAGCCGCTAGGGGCGCTGCACAATATGTCATACATTTAAATGTCATTTTTTTACGCAGTCGCTAGCGAGCACACCTAACGTAAACTCATGGTAGGCACACTGTATTTGTATGAAACTCCATACTGTAACCCACACTTATCCGCACAGTAACGTAAACGCCTCGCCTCGCGGTTGACAGTTGACAGCGCGCGAAAGGCGATGATAGCTCGCGAACGGCGATACGGTATGATCCCTTTCCGAGTTGATAAGTCTGCTATGGCCTTTAGATTCCCTCTACTTTGCAAAATGTGAAAAATAGGGAATGGTGCGTTTTGACAGTATAAAAAAAGTATGTCAATTGACTGTGCTGTCAAATACCCAATTGATTGCTTGCATTTCGTTATTATTTGTTGCAGTCACTCTCGCAAGCAGCCTGACACTCCTCTAGAGTGTTGTAACGGTTGCCGTTGCCGTCACATCCTCCGTAGATGAACTGTTTGCATCCTTCCAAGTCAGTATCGTAGCCGAAACTGGAAAGAGAGGAAGGAAGTTAATATTTATCAATTATACAGTGTGTTAGGTCAGGTTAGGCAAGCATTTCCTCATGTTAAAAAAAAGGTTAGGTTAGGCTCATATACCCATTTACCTACCACCCTGTAGAGGGTGGAATTTTGTAATACCACCTGCCCCCCTAGACAAAACGCACTTTTTGATCGAATCAAAAATCGAATCCGTCAAAATTCCATACAAAAAAGGGGCTTTTCGACTGGTTTGCGATTATAATTTGCACTTTGTCTAGACCCACTCAAAGGAAAGTATAGTTCCAAAATACTGAACTGTCCTATCCATGACATTGACAGTGAGGCGCCACCGTCAATACCGGATCGCTGGTTCCGATTTTTGCCATGTTGGAAACCATAATATAGTTGAACGACTACCATCGTTGGTGGGACAGTTCAGCGTGGGTCATCTATACTCTTAATACTGTAGATAGAAAATTTTATATTCTATGTTCGATTATTGACTAATGAAAAAAGGTCTTACAAAATTTTAAGAAAATAATTATTTTAATAAGGAAAATAAAATACTTACGCAACTTTCCTGCCTCTGCATGGTCCGGTCTCAAGAGGCGAGGTGCAGTCTGGGGCTGGGGCTGTGTAATAAAATAAAAACTTTTTTTTTCATCGAACCTTTTGGCGGGAAAGTGAAACGTCATGCACCTAATGCATAGAGCTATAAAGGATAGAGAAGGTAGGTAAGCAAAATTCTTAAATTGTATTTTGGAAAGAATTGAAACTAAAGTTCGCTACAGCTGCTGCATTAGTTCTGTTGTCTAACCAAACATTAAAATATGCAGCGCTAGATCCGCTTGTTCTCAACGAGTCACCACACCCAAACGAGTATGTAATTGGGAAAAATATTCCATTTAGTCACACTGTTACTCGTTCGAACATTTTGTACCTATCTTCCCAAACGGTCACACACTAACTACCTACCTTTAATGTCAGAATAAATTTGTTAAAAAACAGTGAACAAAATACTGACATTAAAAATCAAAATAATTTTTCTAAGGATTACTGTCGGAAAATACAGGTTTTAGTGTGACCGGCAGGGAATATAAGTAAAACAAATAATGTCCTCAAGTGTGACACGTTGGGAATAAGCGGCGAAATCTAGTGCATAGTTCATTTATATCGATGACTTTATGCGGTTCTATATTGGCTCACATAAAATTCTAAATCCTATTCTTTGTCTTACTACCGATTTGTGTTCATAATAATCTCTCTTCATAATTTTATTTTTCATACTTTTTTTATTCATACATTTTTATTACTACCATCGGAGCTCAAAACAGTTAGTAATCACAATTTTTTTATCAATACTGTTACTACCAAGAACCATTTAAAATACATAATTTTTATTTTCAGATCTTTTTTCTTCATAACATTCATT